GATTTTCTTTATTAGAATAATCTTATGACTTTCATGAAATTTGTTTCAAAAGAATAATTATAGTTTTGTCTTCATTGGTATATTGTTTTTCCTTGAAAAACAAAATGTTCTTGTTGTTTTTTTTTTCTCAAATTTCGCTTTCAAATGAATAATCTTCATTTACTATCTATTTCAAAAAGAAATCAAAAGAATATCACAAACTTCAATTCTTATTAATCTCCTTCTTATACATTTTAATCATTGTTTTTTTTGCAATTCATATCCAATATTTTGAATATAGAATATCAAAGTTAATCTTTTACATTGCACAGGTGTATAGAAAAGTTTCAAAAGTACTTATATACATCAATAATAAAAAGAAATCAAAACTATTCGATTGGAATACAGAAAAAAAAAGTCGATGAGAATGTTGTTCGTTCTTACTATAATTGCAACGATATTCATTGCAAATAATGTTGTCAATTCAGCTGAATGTCGAACAGTAAAACAAGGTGCACATTATTCATCAATGATTCCATTTCATGGTTTAAAATCTAATACAACTATTTCAACACGTATTCAATTTACGACTAGTTCAGCTCGTTATTTATTTCCACCAACAGAATCTAAAGGAGAGTTATGTACAATATCATGGAATAAATTATGGGGAGCTGGTCGATGTGGTTATTTGACAAGTAATCATAAAGATTCAGATCGATTTGTATTTCGTCGTGTTGGAAATTGTCTTCGTTATGAATCTGGATATGTTATTGGTGAGAATGATAATTGTCCTGATTCAAATTTAATTGAAATAGCTGCATATGCATATGATAATAGTCTTAAACCATTTGAAAGAGAAGGTACATTATTAAAAGAATTTTCAACTCGTTTACAAATTGATATTTGGTATAAAGTTACACTTATATTTGAAGAAATTAAAACAATATATCAATTATTTGATAATAATGATCAACTTCTTGAAACTCAAGAAATTGATCATCGTCAATGTAAAGATTTTAATCTTGGTATGATGCAAGATTTATATTTTGGTGGACAATGTCCTGCACCACAAGCTGTTTCTGTTTGTTATGATAAAGCATAATGAAAAAAAGAAATATAATAAAAATGGATATCATTAAATTTAACATATTGTTCTCAAATAAATTCAGAAATGTTGAAATTTTTCATAGTTCAATAATAATATTGAAGAATTATTACGACGTCTTCTTTTTTTTTTTTCAAGAAAACATTTACTCTCAAAAAAAAACAAAAAGACAATTCATACACTGAATTTGTAAACTATGCTTGTTGGTAAGAAGTACTTCGTAGAAATCAAGATATTGAATCAAAAAAGTCATTGAAAAAAAAAAACTTTTGTAATTTCAAGCCTATTGAACTGGATGGCATTTAAGTTTTACTATGCTGGAAACAGGATTTCTTTTTTATTAGTGTAAATCGGAGGAGTTATGTTTTGATCAATCATATTGTTTGACTCTCTGTTTTTTGTTTTCCACATCGATTCAATAGAATCTTTCCGATTTATTTGACTTTCTTCATAATGGTACATGTTTTGATCATTGAAGATAATTTGAATTTTGCGATGAATTATTCGGGTATTCATTATCATCAGTTTCAATTGAGTTTTCCCTCGCCAACTTACGTTTACTACATTCTGCTTTTGACGTAATTGGTTTGGGACTGAAAAATTTAAATATTGTACTAGGAATATGATTGTAAATTTCTATAATTTTTTTTTACGAACTATAGGAGGTAATAAAGGCAATAATTTGTCGAGTTTAGAAGAAGCCAAAGCGATTTTAATTGATAATATATTTTTCCTACTATAATTCCAATTTTGAAAATTAAGATGACTGTTCTATTTTGATAGTTTGCATAATCTTTGAAAATGAATTTCAGACTATAGTCAAAATAATTCTAGTTCCACTTGAGGATGACTTTGTGTAATATCCTGTGGTGCTTCATACTTAAATGAAAGGATCAAACTAGAAATATGAGATGTATATAAATAAATATATGATACTAATACTTGGATTTTCCCCATTGTCTGCTTTATGTGATTCTCAGTAGAGTTTTGAAAGCTTCTACTCTCAAAAAAAGTTCGTTTTTTGTCAGAAAATATTGAAATTAAGATAAATGCATCGGAGAATAGCTTAAGATTGAATCTTTTACAAACAATCATTTTTTCAACAATTTTCGATGATTTCCATCACTTTCTGCTTGAAGAATATGCTGTTGCTCTGAAAATATATCCGAGTTATTCTTCCTCTATCCCTTCCTATGACGATGTGAGGGAACCCCAAAATCTTGACTTAAAACTTACACTCACTGTCTTTTTCTTTAAAATACATAATGTGCGTTTCACAAAAGTATAAAATCATCTATTGTAAGAAGAAATTAGATTCTTTAGAGAAAAAGTCATAAAATAATAGCAAAATTGTCATTGAAAGATACATCATGTTTAATTCTTAAAACTACACGCTATATTAAGTTTTATTTGACACATTTTTGTTTGATGACATACATATCCACTCTGTTGTTGGGACTGCAATAAGCTTCTTTTTTCACTCCTACTATTTATAGCGTAACAAAGATAAAGAGTTTAAGAGACATAATCGTTTTTGATGTCACATATAAGAATTTTCTACAGACAAAGAATTCCTAGAAATTGATGCTATTCAAACAACTTTTACCTTCTTCGATAAGGTATGCTTTAATATCCGAAATTTTCATCAGTTCGATTATAACATAGCATTGGCAAATCAAAAGCTTTTAGAAATATTGAAAATTACATCATTTTGGGAGCTACCGAACAATTTGGAACATAAATGCTTGAAATTTTCTTTTTTTTTCGAATGCTGAACACTGCTGTCTTCGATGCTTGAACAAGACAGTAAAGGATCACCTATCTGTGTATTTTCTGACTCTCTGATCTCGAGATCATTGGAACCGAAAATGATAATTTTCGATGCATATGTTTAGTAAGTAAGAAAAAAAGAAAATTACAAAGGACTAAATAAATGCGATGCGAGGTGATCTCAGATTTCAGCAATGGAGTTCGAATTAACAGAAGAATGATGAACAGTTTCACCTATAGTCGATCCTGTCCGGTCGTAGATTTTCATTATCACGGGTAAAAGATGGAGGCCAAATCGTCAAAATTGCCGTTTTGTAGAACTTACTGAAGATTCAAAAACGTTTATATCATCTTGTGATATATTTCGAACGAATTTCTAGCAATTCGCCATTCTTCAGAACACAGCATCATACAGTCCAGATTTCATTGTAGTAAATCAGCATGCAATGTATGGATGCCAAGTGTGTATGTAACTGACTACATAAATGCTGAGCAGTATGCCAAAAGCATCAAGTCTTTGCTAGGCTCGATAGTTTTTTTTATTTATTTATCATATGGTTAGAAAAAAAATCTATCTATACTTTTTAAAAAAGATATTATTCTATTGTGGAGAAAATCAATAGTGGCAAAGCACAATAAACATGGATTCGTATTCAGAGCTTTTTTCTGTATCGCTACATTAAAAAAAACCGTTGTTCGAATATGTCAAAAAAACAAAGTTTGCTTGAATTTCAAATCATCGCGACGTTACGTATACGTTCTTAACAATATTTTATCAATCTAACTGACTGCAATTATGAGCGACATCAATATCATAATGGACATTCATTGAATCAAATTATGATTCTTCTTTGTCGGAAAAAAATTCTATTATGGACTGACATCTATCGATTATCTTGATTAGTTTATGTTCAAAATAGCTGTACTTTGTTCTCTGACTAGGAATAGAAAAAAGAAAATCATGTCATTATTTTATTTTCTAATAAAACAAAGACTAACCACAAAAAAAATTTTTTTTTTTAGATAAATTTAAATATATAAATATATTTTTTTCTTTTGATTGGTGTACAAAAAAAAAAAACTTAAATTTGATTTTATTTTCTTTTAACAAAAAAAAAGAAGAATGTCTAAGAATGATCTTTCAGCAAAAGATGAAGCATTATTAATACTTGAATATCTTGAAAATGAACAAATGTCAAAAACATTTTTAAATTTTCTTGATGAAAGTAAACATCTCAGTCAACTTCGTTCAAATCTTTATGCTAATTATGAAAAATCTCAACAAATAAATACAAATGAAAATAATGATGATGAAGTTAATGAATTTCAAACATTTTTTAATTTATCAAAACAAATTGTTTCACAATTAAATAATAATAACAACTCACAAAATGATCAAATATCATTTTTATTAAATAAAAGTTCTCATGATTTAAATTTTGATGATGATTTTTTAAATGATTTAGTTAGTCAAACACCACCAATGGATTATCAAAATTATTTACCTGATACACCAATACCATCAGTATTACCATCAATAATTAATAATGAAAATGATGATTTCAATTCTATAGAACAATTATTTGCTATACAACATGCTACACCATCAGAACAACAACAACAACAAATCGTACAATCTATATCTGATACATCATCACAATTAACATTAACAGTACCATATACAAAATGTATTGTTGTTACACAAGATTTTCTTCAATCAATGTATAATCAACAATCAACGACAATAACAAATAATACTAATAATAGTATAAATTATATTCATAGACCAAAACGTCGTAAACGAAAATTAAAAATTGGAAAAGAAAATTATTATCAACAAAGAAAAATTATGCCAAGAGCATCACCGAATCATCATTAAAAGAATAACTTAAATAGTTTTTCTTTCAATTCATTTTTTTTTACATATTTGTAAACTTTCCTATGTTATCTTTTGTTCAATCAAAAAACTGCAGATATAACTTTTTTCTTCTTTTTTTTTTGTGTGTGTGTGTGTGTGCGTCTTTATTTTGGATATTGACTATTATATTGCACGTTCAGATAAGATTGAGAACATAAAGGAATACATATGTTTTGTTATTATGTTTGTTTTTAAAAGTTATTGATAGATATTTTTTGTTTACCATAAATGTCGTATTCACTTCGATTTTGTCTTCATCCATCGATTCTTAAACAAAGTATGTATTGATTCAAACATAATCTCTATTGATAGTCGTTTCTACCTTGTAGTACGACCTTCATTTTCATTGATACGTTGGAATTCAACAACGACACCGGCTGAGGCAACACCACGTAAAATAACAACACATTATACAATTTATCCAAGAGACAAGGACGAACGATGGAAAGGTATTGTTTTTTTTTTGTTTCGATATGAGTAATTTGTCTAGTCACATATTATAATATAATGATTTATTAAGAAATTTCTTTTATTTAATTTTCATTTAATATTAATTCTTTATAGATATCAATATGGAACGTTATGCAGAAGAATACGATGTAGTTATTGTTGGTGGTGGACCATATATCCTTTTCTTTGTTTCGTTAATTTTATAGTTTTTTTTTTTTTTTATTCTTTTAAAAAATCATCTTATTTCCTTAACTACAGTGTACCTGGTCTTTCAGCTGCACTTAAATTGAGACAATTATCTAGTCAACAAAATAAAGAAATACGAGTGTGTGTTGTTGAAAAAGGTTCAACTATTGGTAAGTAATAAAATAATAAATATTAAAAAAGAAAAAAAATCAAAGTACCGCATTATTATTTGAAGGTGCTCATACATTATCTGGTGCTTGTATTGAACTACGAGCACTTAATGAATTAATACCAGATTGGAAAGAGAAAGGTGCTCCATTGACTAATACAGTCACTAAAGATCGTTTTTATTTTCTTACTAAAAATTCGGCAATACCTATTCCAATCTTCAAAGGTAATATAAATTTTGTGATTGATCTTATTATTTAAGTAGAAACTATTTAAGGAGTTCCAATGTATAATCATGGTAATTATCTTGTTCGTTTGGGTAAATTAACTGCATGGCTTGGTGAACAAGCTGAAGCAGCTGGTGTAGAAATGTATCCAGCAACAGCAGCTAGCGAAGTTTATATATATATATATTTTTGTTTTTATATTGAAATTTATTTTTTCTAATTATCAAAATTATTTAGATTTTATATCATGATGATGGTAGTGTTAAAGGTATAGCAACAAATGATGTTGGTATTGCTAAAGATGGTTCACCTAAAGTAATTATTTTCACAAACAAAAAAAATTTAATATCATTTGTATTATAACGTTTGTTTTCTTTTTTTTTTATTTGCGAAGGATTCATTTGCACGTGGTATGGAATTACATGCTAAATATACGGTTTTTGCTGAAGGATGTCATGGTCATTTGGCTAAACAACTTTATAAAAAATTTGATTTAAGAAAAAATTGTACACCACAAAGTTATGGTATTGGTTTAAAAGAAATATGGGAAGTTGATAAAAGTAAACATGAGCCAGGTCTTGTTTTACACACAGCTGGATGGCCATTGGTAAGTTGATTTATAACAAAATATCATATTTTAAATAAAACTTAATTGTATTGAAAATAAAACTTATGAATCTAATTTATAATTCCTACTGAAGTTGATAGTAAACATTTTAAAATATGATTCATAAATAAAAGTTTAATTTAATAAGAATCGTAATATTTTAAAGTTAACAGATGAATATAAGAGAGTTTAAAAAATTTCATGATCTATTTTATACAAGCGATATTCTTTCTCAATCATAATTAGATTTATTATTTTAATTTCATCTTCGATTACAATTGTTTAAACGCTTCAAAACACTATCTCAAGTATGCTCTATTTAATGTCGCATAGGAGAGAACGTATTAATCTAAAATATTAACAAAGAATCTAGTGTTTGAACAGCAGATCCAGATCTACTATGCCCTATCTTTTTTATCTGAACGTAATTAAGAGAGCAAAGAAAGCATTTATTCAGAATTAAATAGATTTCTATAGTATTGACTCACGAGGGAACATTCACAGGTGAGCCTCTTCATTGACCTACATATTATGCTCATATGTAGAGACCGATTAGATTAGAATAAATTTCAAAGGGTTTGTGCTCTTATTGAGATATCGTAGTTTTAGTAGATTTTTTCTGTAGGTGGTCAGTTTTGAAGTTAAATGATATCTCCAAATTTGGACCTAAAACTTTGTCAATATGAAAGTCTCCTTTAGACTAGCTGATATGTAAGGTTTCATAATTTTTGGAAACTCCATCTTCGAGATATGAATCTTTCAAAATAGATATATGTCTTATATATAATATCTGAAGAGAAGAAGTGCCTTTGTTTGGAAAGACACATGTCTCGAAGATGGAGTCTCCAAAAATTATGAAACCTTACATATCAACTAGTCTAATGAAGACCTTTATGTTGACAAAGTTTCAGGTTGAAATACAGCGATATAAACTGGCCTTCTATAGGAAAAATCCACTAAAAGTTCGATATTTCAATAAGAGCACAAACCATTTGAAATTTATTCTAATCTAATCGGTCTCAACATGTGAGCATAATATGAAAATAAACGAAGTGGCTCATCTGAGAATGTTCTCCCTCGTAATTTATATAAATTTTTCAAGACTATGAAGCACTTCGGTGCGAAAACAGCGTTTTTTTTCTTGTGAAAATCTAAAAAAGTAAAGCTTAATTTATGCGATAGTGTTTTTCAAGCTCTACAAAATATCTTGTTTCACTTTTCCATATCTTGACATGAGAATACATTAATACAAGAAAACTGAATTTTGTGCTCGAAAGTTATTAATGATACATGTTCACAGTATTTGTGTAAAAACTTTTTTACTTTTACTTCTACAACATACATTTGTCTTTGGTTTTGTTGAGAATTGAATGTTGAGTCTTAGATTAGATTTTATTTTAAACAATTATTTTCATTTGAATTTTTAATTTTCTGTCTTTTTTGTTTCTTAACTATTTCATACTCATATTAATATGTTTGTTTTTCGTTTAGGATGCGAATACATATGGTGGTTCATTTATGTATCATATATTAGATAATGATCAACCATTAATTCTTGTTGGATATGTTGTATGTATTGTTATCTTAATTCTTTTTGTTTGATTTGTTCTATTTTATTTAGGTTGGTCTCGATTATAAAAATCCATATTTAAATCCTTATCAAGAATTTCAACGTTTTAAAACTCATCCAAAAATTCGACCAATATTCGAAAATGGTAAACGTATTGCTTATGGAGCTCGTGCTTTAAATGAAGGTGGTTATCAGGTATCTAAAAACAAAATCGACAAAAAATATTTTTTTATATCTTCTCATTGTTTTTTTTTTCTTATTTTATTGGCTATTCCAAAACTTTCATTTCCTGGTGGTTGTTTAGTTGGATGTAGTCCAGGATTTTTAAATGTACCAAAAATAAAAGGTACACATACAGCAATGAAATCTGGTATGATAGCTGCTGAAACTATTTTTGATTTATTAATAAAATCAACAGATGAAAATAAAACAAAAGGTATTTTAAGTTTAAAAAAAAAAAAAGAAAGAATTTTATTTTAAATATTAAGGTATAGAACCAAGTGATTATGATAATCGTATTAAAAATAGTTGGATATGGAAAGAATTATATAGTGTACGTAATTTTCGTCCAGCATTTAATACATCATTAGGTATATTTGGTGGATTACTTTATGGAGCTCTTCATTTTGTATTACGTGGTAAAGAACCATTTACACTTAAACATGAAGGTAAATATTTTGTTGAATTATTTTTCATCATTTATATTTTTATGTTTTTTCTTCTATATAAAATAGAACCAGATCATTCTCGTTTAAAAAAAGCTAAAGATTGTCAAGCAATTGAATATCCGAAACCTGATAATGTTGTTACATTTGATCTTTTATCAAGTGTTGCATTAACAAATACAAATCACGATCATGATGAACCACCACATTTAACACTTAAAGATGATAGTGTTCCAACAAATATTAATTTACCTATGTATGATGGACCTGAACAACGTTATTGTCCTGCAGGTAAAAATTTTTTTTTTTGGTTTTTTTTCATTATTATTTAATTCTTATGATTTTCTTAGGTGTTTATGAATTTGTTGAAAATGATTCTGGTCAACGACAATTACAAATAAATGCACAAAATTGTATTCATTGTAAAACATGTGATATAAAAGATCCAACACAAAATATTAATTGGGTTACACCACAAGGTGGAGAAGGTCCAGCTTATAATGGAATGTGAACCATCTTGTTTTTTTTTTCCTTTTTACAAACATCTTATTCTGTATATCGTGAAAATTATGCAGTAGAGTTTCTTTGTTTTTTTTTCTTTTTGATTAATAACGATAAACAAGTATAACTTAAAATTTTCTCATGTTTTACTGTTCGATACATAATAATTTTTTTTTCCGTATTAGATAAATTTCGACGATATGCATTTTATAATAGAAATATCGGAAAAATTGTTTTGCTTACAGGTAAAAACTATTTTGAAAAAAGAAATATATTGATTAATGTTAACCATTTTGAGATATACAATGATTCACGAAATAATTTGATCAAGTTTTTTTTTCTTTTGACAATTAACGCTAATAAGAATTAGCAAATAGAATTCTGTTTGAATTACTTAGAACGATAGAACAAATAATTCTCTACAAAATAAAATGTCTCCTAGCTCTCTATGACGTTTATTCATAGAATCTTACGAAAGACATAAAAGTCCGTTTTTTTTCTGTTATTTCATATAGAAACATTATTTTTATGCCTTTCATAATATTTGATGTACCTCGGTTCAAAAACGTTGTAGCGAGTGGAGAGATGTTTCATTTTGTAGAGAATTGTTTCCTTTATCATTCTGGATAATTTCTATTTGCGAATATCAGAAAATCATTTTCATCGTCGAAAATTCTTTACAATAATCACTATCTGAGAATTCTTATTAGTGTTGATGGCAGTAGAAATAAATTTGATCGAATAATTTTGAGAATTACTATATATTTAATTCGATACGAAAGAAAAAAAGAAATTTTCTATGTGAAGCTCATGTAATCAACTAAATGCTAGTTCAAGTTTGTTTCAATTAAACACGTTTTAATCGAGAGAAGTAATTCGATTTATTCTTCTTCATATTTAATAATTTATTGTATAGTGATAAAAATATCATATACTTTCTATTGATGACGTAAGCACTATATCAAAGAGTACATATATCATACGACACCTACGCAAACTGAGGACAGTATTTCAACGATAATATGATATTTGTTTTTGAGTTTTAAAAAAATTTGAGTTTGATTTTATAACTCTTTCGTCTGTTGTAATAGAAGAAATATATAATACAATTCGATTAACAAGTGACAAAAAATTAATCTTTGAATTGTTTGATAATAATAACAGTTAGATCTGACATTGAAATGGTCGAAAGGGTTCTTTTTCTTTTTTTTTTTTTTTTTTTTTTTTTTTTTATAAAATTTTGATTTTTTACGATAAAAAATAAGCATTCGCAAAAAAAAGAATTATTAATAGGTTTGTTTTTATTGATAAAAACAAGGCGTGCATGCATTTATTTTAAAACATTTTTGCGCTCAAAACATTTCTCTTTCAACTCACACTATAATCTATTCTACGTTGTCTATTTCCGAATGTTCTGTTGATTTTTTTTTGTCATACCGCTGAATTTTTACTGAAAAAAAAAACATTATGAGAAGGTAGTTCGAAGTTTGTTTTTTTTCGTCGTTCTCTTATAGTGCTTCGCGTGATAAACACAACTATAGGTGGAGCATTTATGCAATACTATACATAGAATTGGTTTTTTCTTTTCTATTCATCTTTATATAGTCAATCATTTGAGTCAGACATATATGTGAAGAAAATATAAAACACCAGGTAAAAGTCGCTTTCAAGCATACATCAAGCTTTTCTTTTTTTCTCTATAAAAAATTCGCAATAAAAGTCTCAATTCGTTTGAGAACTCATATTGACATAGAAAAAAAAAGAGCACATAAAAAACGAGAAGTTTTTTTTTTTTTTTCAATGAAAGCAGAATATTCAGCGACACAATCAACGAGGTGTTTTGGTGACAAACACTTTTAAATATCTTTCGTCTTCTTCCTTTATTTATTTTCTGTTCTTACACATGTGTAGGAGTTACTGAAAGAAAACGAGAAAAAAAAGTAAAAAAAAGAAAAACAACTCCTTTACGATCTTTTTTTTTCCATCTATCATGCTTCACAATTGGTATAACAAACTTAAGTGCGTTGGTTGTTTTTCTTTTCTTTTTTTCATCTATCTATCAATTAAATAATAACATTAATATTATTTATTAATTTGTTTTTTTTTTCTCTGTAGAAAACCAAAAACTTCGTCTATGTCTGGAAAATCTTCAACTTCAACGGTTGATAAACAACAAACTAATATAATTGACAATGCTGAAACTCAAACAGCAGCAGCAGCAGCAGCAGCAGCAGCAGCAGCAGTACCTTCTTCTGATACATCAAATTCGGATCCTGTTTTCCTAGAAGCATACGATTGTGCAAAATTAAATCGTGATTGGCATAAAGTAATTAATGCATTAACGACACATCCCAATTGGTTAATAAAAATTCCTGATGGTTTGTAAAAGAAGAAAACAAAAACAAAAAACAATTTTTTTTTTCAAATAAAATAAAATTTCTTTTAGGTCGTCAATGGACAATGTTACATCAAATAGTTTTTTCTGGTCATGTCAAACATTTAGATGAAGTTCTTGCATTACAAATAAATAATGCGCAATTTCGTCTTCTATTAAAAGCACGAGATGGTAAAACTATACATGAAGTTGCTACTGAACGTTCACATATTCATCCTGGAATGTTACGTCGTATTGAACGACTTGTTGTTGTTGATCAATTATTAAATAATGCTAAAGATCGTAAATGGGATTTAGTTAAACAATCTATTACATCACAACCAGATATTGTTAATGAAAAACCTCCATATCGTCGTTTTTATTTAGCACATCATCTTGCATTTGTTGGACAACTTGATGTATTTAAAGATTTAAGTAAAATTTGTAAGTTTAATCTTGATTTACTTGCTGGAAATCAAACAGTTGCACAAGTTGCTCGTGAACATAATAAAATACCATTTGCTCAATATATTGAAAGTCTTCAAACTGAAACAAATGACGATACAAATGATGATACATCATCATTTGATGAACCTGGTGTAACACATTATAGTCCTGGTTTTTATGATGATCCTTGTATATCATTCATTCCACCAAATCTTAATTTAAATACTATATTTCCATTGTCAAATCATTCAACAACATATTCCAATAATCATCATCATTATCCACATCATACAACACATAATCCTCATAGTGTTATAAATGATCATCATTTTGCAACACATAGTCTTTATCAAGGTGAAAATCCAACAGCAATGGCAATGCCAACACCAAAAGTAACACATAGTCTTCAAAATTTAACAAATGATAATCATTTTACAACAAAAAGTATTTATCAAGGTGCACATTCGATAACAACATCAATGCCAATGGCAACAGCAACACAAAGTCTTCAAAATCAAACAAATAATCAACAATCTACTACAAATAATAGTCATCAAAGTCCATATCCAACAACAGCTCATATGCCAATGCCAACACATACTCAACATAGTACTACATATGGAAATAATAATAATGATAATAAAAAATCTATTAAACCAAAATCAAAACTATCTGAAATGACTAGTCATGAACAAACTAAATACGAAGAAACAGCTCAGAAAAATGTTAAAAATATTTCTGAACAAAATTTACTTAATTCAATTACTTGTTGTATTACAAAAACTATACTTCGTGATCCAGGTAAGAGATTAACTATGATATTTATAATGAGTAAAACTAATTCTTAATATTCTTCATGTCAAATTTATTTTAATTATAATATTATACCTCTATGATATGAGAAAAAGAACATAATTTACATATGTCTATTAGATTTATTAGATCGAAAAATTATTAATCAGAATTTTTTTATTGTCATTTCGGAAAAAAAGAATTCCGAAGGCAACTATTTGATATTTAACCCTTTCCGATCAGCTATTACCATTTGACAATATCGAGCCAATATTTCGTGCAAGGTTGATTTGTAGTGATGATAGTTGATTTTTTAACAATTCGATCCATCCCCAATGCCAGCATTATAGCTCACGTCAAATTGTCTAGAAATTGATATTTGACTTTCATTTGATTTATACACTACTGGAGTCGAACAGATTCAAAAGTTCATTTTATCAAAAACTATCCCTAGAAATTTGTCTGTTACATTCTTCATAAATATTCGTTAGTAATTTCGATTTAACTATTGGCTAGAGTATAAAAATTGTCTATGTAGAATAATTTTTAGAACTATATAAATCTCTAAAACTTATTATTTAAGAGAATTTTCAAATTTAGGAAAAATGACACTTTATTCTAAAATTGAACTACCTATAAAATCTATATATTGAATTAAAAATTCAAATACATTATAATCAAAATCGAGTTGATATTATGTTTAATCAAACACAATCTGGAGTGTGGATGTTAGTAGAAGCTTTGTATTCATCTACAATTACATCCAAAACAAATATCAATTTCTACACAATGTGACGAACACTGTAAGACTAGTATAGTTAAATCTTGTCAGAAAAAAGTCGGACACCGCTAACTACTTTCGTTCTCGAGTTACTCAAAAAACACTTATACTCATTTGATTTTCGCGATGATACTACTATCATGTAAACATTCTTACCAATCGAGAATTTTCTTTTCATGTTTCATTCGTTCACTTCTGAGGGTATGGATGTAGGCGTGCGAAAAGACTATCCAAATACATCATTCACACACTCACTCTATCATTCTTAACAGAAACTTTAAAGAACAAAGACGAAAAAATGAATTTTTATTTTCTGATATCATATTGAACTATTTGTTATTCTACAGTTGTGGCTGCTGATGGTTTTACGTATGAACGAGAAGCTATTACCAAATGGTTCGAACATTCAAATCGTAGTCCAATGACAAATCAAGAACTCGATAACCTTGAATTAAAACCAAATTATGCTATTAAATCAATTCTACAATCGTTACAAGGTGCCAACTCTTTGCCTACGAAACCTGACAAAAAATGAAATACTAATATTTAATAAATGTTATAGTACTAAGTAGTTATTCGTTGCACTTTGTATAAGCTTATATTTACATGTGATATT